TATTTTTTCTTATAACATTCTAACGTATTAAATTTTTGTAAAAGTTATTCAACATTGTTTTTTTTTTCAATTACAGCTGCCAGGATAGGTGATGTTTGCGAGTACGATGATGCTTGTGCCTTCATAGATGATAATTCTGCATGTTATAGCGGCAGGTGTGTATGCATGGATGGATTCAGAGCCGCTCATCACTTGAAAGGATCCTCTCTTTGTCTTCCTGGTAAAATCATATTTTTGAAGATCACATTTTTTCAGCTTTCTTATTTGAAATTCGGTAAAAAAAGAATAAATTTAATGTGCCATGATCATTCACAAAAGAATAAAAAAGTGTATATATATACTACGTATTCGTTCATATTTTAACATATAAAAATATTCCTTTCAAAATTAAGATTAAACTCGACATAATTTAGAATTGAAATACTTGATGAGTCGAGTCCTTAACTATAAAAAATTTCAGAAACTAATTTTGACTCAACGAAAATGTTTCCGAAAATCTTAGAGAACTTCATGTTTCCGATCAATTGAGAAACATTTCTTTTTTGTATATATATAAGTAGGAAACTGAATCGCTTTGACGCCGATTCAGTTTCAGAGTGTAGCGTAGCTACCACTACAACTATTAAATTCCACTTCTCTAGTATGTGAAACATGTTAACTCATTTCCGTCAGGAGGTACCTTTTGATAGATGACGGTAGACATTGACGTTAACCTCACCGCACACGGGTGACTCACGGACGTGATCTGAACAGGCCTGCTGCGACTGAAACGCACATTTCTATTTGAACACACCTAGTTCGATGGGTGATTCACAGTAAACAGTTGACATGCTATTTGTGACCTCACACTGTCCTCCTCACGCTATTGCTACTCAGTCTCGATCACACACAAAGGGGGCCTGTACAAACTCGACTGCTTAGTGCAACACAGGAACGAACACAACCATGATCTTAGTACAGCTCTCACGACCCGCACTCAAAGTTCGGTGATCTTAAGGCAATTCTCCCGACCTCTCGCAAAATAGCAATGAATCAACCAGTGGTATCCATTAATGGAATTCTATCTCCGATAATATTCTGGTGGGGGAGTTATATGGAGCAGCTACCACTACAACTATTAAATTCCAATTCATTAGTTTATAAGACATGCTAACTCGAATCTATCTTGAGGTAGCTTTTGATAGATGACGTTCGACATTGTTGGTAGCCTAGCCCCATAAGAGGTTTCCGAAATATTAAGAAACATTTTTGAAAGATGCATGCACCTTAGATGAACCTTATATTCATAAACATTTTTGGTCCTTTTTACAGTGTAATTTGTAGGATACTTGGAAAGTTTTATTAAAATCTTTAAAAATTAAAAAATAACTCAATGTTTAGATTATTTCTCACAACTGTTTTCCCAGTTGTATTCAAAAGTTTTTATTTATTATTCTTTAATTATTATTATGAGTTAAAAATTTGAAGTTTAATATTATTTTAATTGAAAATTGTATCGCCATTATACTATTCTTTTAATTTCTTATTTGTTTTCCTAAGAAAAATACAGAGTGTCCCATAAGCACATCACTTATGCATAATTTTAAAAATATTTGCTGAAAATACATTAAATAAAGGGGAGTCTCAAATCAGAATTTAGGTTTTGAAAAAACAAACACAATACGGAACACTGAAATATCACTTTTGAGGACGGCTAGAGAAGAAAAATTATTTTTAATAGCCAGTTGGGACCTAAAGTTGCTTCGAATTTTTATCTTATACTATTTTTATATTTCCTTGCTCAAACAAACATGTTTTGACGTTTTTAATACTGCCTTTGTCAAAAAATGCAGCAGATTTTGATAATGTTTTTGTTTTATCATTGCTTTAATGTTAAATTGTGACCAGGGCTCTAAAAATAAAGTTTAAGATGATGATAACGTAATGCCCTGCATGTCAGGAAGAGTAGTCATTTCTTTTAAAGTAAAAATCTTTTAAAAATAGTGTGAACAAATTTATAAATCTGTTAATTATTTGAATGATTTCTTTAATTATTTTTCATTAATTAATTAATTGTTAATTATTAATTTTATTAATTAATCAATTTTATTATAATTAATCTTATTAATTAATTAATTTTATTATAATTAATCTTATGAATTAATTAATTTTCTTAAATAATTAATTTTCATAAATAATTAATTTTGTTAATTAATTAATTTTATTAAATAATTATTTGCAATTATAGATATTTCAAATAGTATCATTTTTAAATAAACAAAAAAAATAATAAGAACATTTAGTGAGTATAAAACCTCTCGTATGATACATACGTCCATATAGTTTGTAGTAAGAAATTAAAAAGAGAAAGAAAATACGTTAAGCATTTAAAGTTACATGTAATTAGCATAAATAATTATAGTTATTATAAAGTTAACAAATCTAAATACATATACATTAGAACTAAAATATTCATTTATTCCTTTGGTACACTGCAAAAGTAATTAAATTGCATATAATATTTTAATTATTAATACAAATAATTAATTAATATAATTAATAATTTAATTGTTAATTATTTAATTTGTAATTGAAATAACTAATTAAATTTAAAAATATTTAATTAATTATGAATGTAAATGGTTTTTTAATAATCAAAATAAAAGTAATAATAAAAATTTAGAGAAGATAAAAACTCTCATAAGAAACGTACGCCAGTATAGTTTATCGTAACAAATGATAAAAGAAAGAAAATACATTAAACATTTAGAATTATATATAATTAGAATAAATAATAATAGTTACCTTGAAATTAATAAATTTAAATGTATACGCAATTGTTCTTTTTGTACACTGGAAAAATAATTAAACGCTATTAAATATAATTAATCAAAATATGCGAATGATTACAGGGAAAATGTGCTTCCACATTCGCAGGAATGCATATTGAATGCAGAAGCAGATATTGAATNTAATCTAGAGTTACTTGAAATTAATAAATTTAAATGTATATGCAATTGTTCTTTTTGTACACTGAAAAAATAATTAAACGCTATTAAATATAATTAATCAAAATATGCGAATGATTACAGGTAAAATGTGCTTCCACATTCGCAGGAATGCATATTGAATGCAGAAGCAGATATTGAATTCCGTATGAATAAAAATGAATTATGTACTACTCTCAGTTGAAGTAAAAAATGAATGTAAATTAAATGACATATTTATGTAAATCAAGCTAGAACTTCAGAATAAAATAAAGAATAGCGATGAAATTATGAATAATTTATTTTAAGGTTAAAAAAAAAGTTTTACAACTGAAGAACAAAACTTAATGCCGCAGGCATGAGAGTGTAGGTGCATAGTTTATCAAAATATTAAATTTTTATTTGTTAAGAGTAAAACGAAAAAATAACCGTTATAATTGAATATTTTTGATATATTGTGATGAATAGTTTGTATTCCGCTTAAGCGTTTTTGCTTGCAATACTGTTATAATGGGAAAATATGCAAACTAAACTATTTTGAAGTATTACAAACAGTAAAATGATTCCAAACGTAAATCGTACCTAACAAAATGTTTTAATTGAAAGCAGTAATACCTTTCTTGATTATAATTATTATTTTTGATCACAATTCATTTAAAACTTAATCTAAACAAGTACATATTTCTCTAAAATTAAATTACTACATACTTTTTTCATTCTAAAATTACGGTAAAATAACCAGCAGCGGTATGTTCATGTGAGTAACTGTAAGGTTTATGGTTAGGAACATTTTGCACCGTTACGGTTTTGAAACCGTTTATAACTGATACGGTTAAAAAACCGTCAATACAAAACTATACCATTTAAAACTAGCATAGTTTCTAAACCATTAAAATGAAATTTAAACGGATATTGGAGCTTTGTAGGAGCCACGATATTTATGCGTGAATTATAATTTCATACTAATATAGTCCAGGGTCTCCAATTATATAAACTGTCAGGCATTAAAGCATCCCCTGCTCTGAAATCACAGAGAACATTACATCAGGGTAGAATCTGAACCAAAAAGTATTTCGGTCAGCGAAAAATTCAACAATCAGATTTTTATTCGCAGGCGATTCTTTTTGCCTGCGAAAAATTTTAAAACTTATCACAGGGAAACAGAATTCAGCAGAAGTCGTGGTAGAAGAAGACTTTACTCTTACTTATATTTTATTTTATAACCGACCCAATTTTGGGCTTACGACTACTAACGTGCAACTCCATAGCCTTGTAACTTTGAAACCTGTCCAGAAGACAAGAGAACTCCCGGATCGAATATTGGGTAAAATTTGCCTTCATGGAGGACATTTTGATGGAACTAATCCGATTTTGGGTTACACCGGAGGAAAACCACCCATGGTTAGCATGACGGCAAGGGGACTCAAGCTCATGATCCGTCTACCACTGAGGATATTTTAGTTCAGCAGTGTGGTCGGTGTGAGCCGGGTGCGGAATTCGTATCATCCAGCCATCTCTTCAGGAATTGAAGGAATGGAAGAAATATTGTGGAATCAACACTAGATACGAGCCCCTCGCCTTGTCATGATTAGATCTCTCAGCTACAGTATGTACCCAGCAGCACGAGACAAAATTGAGAGAATTCTGGTTGTTACACCGTGTTAGGTAAAAATAATCAATAAACTATTCTTCTTACACATAACAGTTTGAATATCATTTTTTAATAGCTATTTTACTGTTTTGGATGAATATGGTGAAATAACAATGAAATAAATTGCTATTTAGCCATTTTTTCGAGACATTTCTAACAGTGTATTATCATTAGTATTCAATGAAAAGAAATATAATTAGATTAACAACGCTTACTTAATGAAAAAAAAAAGATTTTCTTTAACATTTTCTTTTGTAGTATTTCATCATTATGGTCATAAAACAAAAGTGTTTCAACATTTAGCATAATATTATAATAGCATTCAAACCAATGAGCTAGTTATCAGAATAGATTACATTTTATAAAAATGTAAATATAAATACCTTACTGCATCTAGTTTGCTAATTTATTCGTATTAATGGAAACAGAGAGCTGGAAATATTTGTTTTCATCGTCTGAAAAATGATATTGTAAAACATCGAGTCAACACATATATATTTGCATCGGTTAGCAAATGATGCAACTCCATGTATCCGAGCGACTGAATTTTCAGCGTAAACATTCGCTTCATTTTGAGGCAATTTATCCGCAGTAAGCTACTTATTTACACGAGCAGCTTCGCTACTGTTCTCAATTTCAAAAACCGTTTTCCCTTTCGACGTTGAACTTATCTATTGTTTTCAAGAATTAATATTTACAGTCTGAGTTTGAGTTGCTTATCTATGAAAGCGATAATTTTTTTTTTGCTTGTTTTAGGGAAAATAAGCATTAACGCATCTATTCATTTCGGAAAAATGTTAAGTAAAAGTTTAAATATTACTATGTATGAACTATAAGGAATGTGTTGTTGAAACAGTGATAGTTAATAAAACTATAATAAAATAATGATAATTTTTTTTTATTTCGATGTATATACATTAAGGAGGAAGCACGATTTAAGAGTGAACTATGTATGAATTATGAACGAGGTGACATTGAAATAGTGATTAAAATTAATTAAACTATTTTAAAATAATGATAAAAAATTTATATTTCAATGTTTGCACATTGAAAGGGAAACACGAAGCAAGATGGAATTATGTACAGTTAAACGTGTTTATCTCAAACCTTTTTATTTCGAAAACCTGTATATCGCAAAATTTCTGAAATTCCTGACATTTACTATTTGAAATCAATGTATTTTCCATGCCTATCTCGAAATTGTTTTTTTCAAAACCTCTGTTTCTGGAATTTCTAATAATCGAGCACAAATGCCCAAACAACATAACAAACAAAGAAGGTTAGACGTTAAAAATCCTTAAAAAGAAAATTTTCCGTGTTAAAGTCATGTTAAAAAATTTTATGTAATTAGATATCTGTGGTATAATTAATTTAAGAAAAGTTAAATGTCTATTGAAAGATATTATTTAAGTCTAGTAATCAAGCTCCCAAAATCAGTTTTTTTCATTAGAATTTATTTCTAATTTCTAATCTAGAGTTAAAATATTCTTATAAAATCCACCTTCATATTTATGTAAAAATATCCTTTTTCAAAAGGAACCTCATAAAATTCTTTTTTTTTCCTACATAATCATAATACATGTTCAGTTCAGATATTTTTTTATCTATATAACTTTTTCATGAAATAACTTTCTTTAAAATTGTTTGTATAAATTTTATAAGTAGTTTTCTATAACAAAATGACACACGTCCTTATTAATTTTGAACAAAATTCATATAATCATTTATTGTCTTCTTTTCCATCTCTTTTTACGAATCCTTATTTCTTATCATATCGCTTAGGGAAGTGGTTCTTAACCTAGCCGCGACCCAAATTTGAGAAATATGTTCATGTCGCGACCCAAAAAAAAGGTCAAAATTAGGCTGAGTAAGCCACAATGACTTCTTCTAGGAGGTGTTGGTATTACTTATTATTTAGTGTATTACTAGCTTTTCTGGTTCGACTCAGCGCGATCCAAGAAAAATGCTTCGCGACCCAATTTTGGATCGCGACCCATACGTTAAGAACAGCTGGCTTAGGGTATAAGCTCAATTTTTCTGTCCCTTACAAAACTACCTTTTACTTCAAAACATTAAACTCAAAACTTGAAAAGGTATCACCAGTTATGCTTCACCCACAAAAAAAAGAACTTTATATAAAAAAACACACGCACCTATATGGATAAAATGGGCAGTATTCATTAGTTAAACCCAAATAAATATTACCTACCATTTCAGACTTAAAGAAAGCGTTGTTCTCTGAATTATCATAACATAAGTATATTACGTTTATTGATTTATATTATCAACATACAGTGAAACCTGCCAAGTTGACCGCCCTTGTAAGTTGGACACCTGCACAAGTTGACCTCAATTATCAAGAACGGAATTTTTCCTATTTAAAGTAAAGAAGCAAAACCTTTGTAACTTGACCACCTGTCTATCTTGTATGTTGACCAGTGAAATAAGTCAATTTTGTCTAGGAGTATTATGAAATTCTATTTTAAAACCCCCATAATTTGACCAGAAAAAAAATTCAGAAAATTTTCTGTCATTTTGTAATGTATGTTAACATTTTACTTGTTTGGTGAAATAGTGTAAAAAGCTAATCTAAACCCTTTTGTGAGTTAACCATCTGGAGAAACTGTAGGGGGTCAGCTTTTGACCATTTCTTTCATTCAAAACATTGGACTGATGAAAAGTTTAAACAACAGCGTTAAACAACAATGAGGGAATATTTTTGTAACAAATAGGTTTGTAAGTGTAGTAATAGCAGAATAAATTTTAAAGTGTTCAAGTAATTTTGTTTTGGTAAAGTTTTCAAATTACATGTTTTCGTGTTCTGATATTTTAAGAAATTATTTTTATTAAACACTTCACTTGCATAACTAACGAAATAATATTTTTTTAAAAAGTTAGTTAAATATTAGAATTATGTATGTGTAACAAATTCATTCAGGTTTAAACACATTTCTTAAGATATTCATTTGACTATTTGCTAAATAAAATTTTAAAGTCAAGTAAAAAAA